AGAAGAAAAAAAGAAACGCACAGGCGTTTTCAGTTCATTTCAATATATTTTGACAGCAACCGTCATTAAGACAGCTCCTATGTTTGAATCCCGTTAATCATGTCGTGGTTGTTGTGTATTGCATCCCAAAATGTGTTTGTAAACGTTTGTCATAAAAAAATTAAAAACGATACATGAAACGTGCTTGCAGAAAAATGTTTTCTACGTTATGCACGTGCAACATCGAGTATAAAAGGCCAAACCGAATTCATCACTTCATTACGAAATTTAGGACACAAACGAAGTTTCCGGGACCGACTCATCTACGTCGCCGAGTCTCTACAGCAACGGACACTGCAGGGCAGCTGCCTTGTCTTCGAAGAATTTCCAACAAACCATCAGAAATTGTCCAAGAGAAGTGGGAATCAGAAAAGAGTTGGAAATGTCCTGGTACGGCTACACCGACAACGGTGTCCAATGCTTCGACAGGTGGACATATTTGGAGGAGAAAGCGTCATGGCGTGGGGAGCCATGTCCTAAACAGGTAGATCAGAACTACTGTTGGTTCAAGGCAATCTTACAGCAAATTGCTACATCGACCAAATCCAAAACGACAATGCTCGACCCCATACAGCTCGTGTAATTTTAAAGTGCCTGGCTCGCCAATGGAAACGTCAATGTCCTCCCCTGGCCTTCCTTAGCGCGATCTGAAACCGATCGAGCATCTGTGGGACGAACTTGATGGACGCATCCGTAAAGGTCACCTCAGACACTTGCAGAACCTGCAATCCCTGCCAAGGCGGTGTCGAGCAGTGACGGCTGCAAGGGGTGGTGTCACCAGGTGACCTGAACGCCCCCTTGTGTCCACACACGTACAGTGGGTGAACTGAATTAATGCTGACAATGACAACAATGCATATGTTCATCCGTGTGTCGAATTTCCTTCATCTGTGTTCAAGCTTAATCGACTTGTGTAACTTAAATACGTTTAATACATTTCCGTATTTTTTGCCTGTGCGTTTCTTGTTTTGAAGAGTTTATACGCGTTATGCATTATTCTACCATGACTTCAGTAAACACTGGATTGTGATTGGTTAATTAAAGTCATTCAGAGGTATATAATCACGTTATACAGGTCTCTGTTTTCCGTGCGCAATCATACATGGTTTACGGTAATGCACTATTTTTGTCTGCCCACTAGATATCTAACATGGCGGACACCAAACAACCTACCGATGCATCGATAAATTACGGCGATTTACTGTCGGAAATTACACATATGTCTTTAAAGATGGATTTAGCGATGACGGGCTCGACTCACTACTTGCGTAAATCACAGCAATAGGTGTTTATACATACAAAAGTACTTCGAAAGCATGGAAACAAATATTCAGTCGAACAAGATCAAAACACCGTCTGCTTTCCGAATAAAAATTCAGTTTACGTTGATTCTATGTTACGTCAGAATAGATCCAGCAATAGACTGCTACATAATTTCCGTGTTAAATTTATTATCAGCTTTCGTCAACGATATCGCCACTGATCTTGATCCGGTAACGGAGGATGTATTAACATCGAACGCCGAAGAAATTTTAATGCCTTCCGTCCACATAAATAAACAGTTGGGTTATCAATTCAAACAAAAATGATATTTTGAAATTTGTACTGTTTCAAATTCAGCGGTAGTAAAACACAATTACTGAATCTGCAAACCGTTCTGTTTAGCCCAACATATATTTTTTTCTAACAGTGTAATATCGTTGAAAAAGTTATTTGGCTTAGTCATGATCCCTCTTATCCGTTACACTGCTTGATCTAAAGTAGTCTATTAAAGTATAATTAATTACCTTACCGTGTTTATGCCAGAGGTACACCCTCATGTCCTGGTCCATCCTTTCGGAAATATCACCACAAATCTGGCTCTTTGTCAACAGACTCGCGAACATGCCAGCGAATCCGATTCAATTTGAATTCACTACACTTTGAAGCCACTAGGTCACAAAACACTTTCCAAAATGTAGAAAATAATATCCGTAGAATCGAATTTGAGCACAAAGTACACACATGAGTGTGTAAGTCACCACAGCTGTCGCACGCAGACGTAGAGGTGCGTGAAATCGTCAAGTTGACAGGGCGCAATATTCAACAGCATCTAATTCGGTACAACCCGGACTTCTCGTTACAGCAAAAGCGCCTCTACTCTTAAATTTTGTACCAGTACCAGTAATTAGATATCAAAGACTATCTCAGTCATACAATCAGGTTAACCTTGCTCAAACTGTCAGTGGCTCTCCTGTCGCATCTTTCCAAATGTAAACAATGACTTCGAGAAAGGTCAAGGCCATGAGGTTGCTGCCACTATTCTGGTGGGGAAAGGGTCTACGGTGGAATTTTCAAATGTGAACCAAGCTTTTGAAACTTATTTGATATATGTTTTCCAACTTATCAGTTAATGATTGGTGATTGATGCATTGAAAAAACAAAACGTGATTTGTTATTACTGAATCTGGAGTTTGTTAGTCATTGACGGTTTGCCACCAAACACCCCGTTTCGGGCGATACCACTTGAGATTGGAATGCGAGGCCGCTTCACGTATTGACTCGTAACCAAAGAAAGAGCTCCACCTGAAATTGTTCATAAAATTGTCATGGTAGAATGGAGATAAACCTACTGTGTTGGAAAATCAGAGGTATATAACGAAATTATAATAGCTCTAAATTGTTCATTTAAAACCTCACGCTACGCGTTCGGTTTTAAATGAAATTTAGAGCTATTATAATTTCGTTATATACCTCTGATTTTCCAACACAGTAGGTTTATCTCCTAATTACTGGAATAAAGTGCATTATTTGATGTTATGCCCTTTTTAATGCAGAAAGATAATGACATGATTTATCTACTTTTATAATCTATTTATATAGAGTTCCAGCTAGGCTGCTCACAGGCGCTTTGTTTTGTTTTGTGTTTTTTGGTGGTGTCTTCCTTAACCAGTGTTAACCTGTTGACAAGATAATATGTTTTCCTCAACATTCAGTGGCTAGAGAATAATCAACCGTTCTTCAATTTTCAATATTCACAACTTCAGGTGTCAAAAGCATGCAAAAAGTGAGTAAGTTCATTGTGCACAAAATACACGTGCCACGTATGTTGTGACCTTAAAGCTAGAATGGGCGTTAAGGTCACAACACACGTCTTCCTGGTTTATAACTACTTGAATTTCCCAGAATGCATTATCACTGCGCTCACTCGTATCGTTGTAGGTTCATACATCCGTAATGGGGAAATGGGCTCGACGTGATGAAATGTTATTGTTACGGCTCAGTGTTTTGTTGTTGATATTGTTTTGTTTCATTCTTCATGACACTGGTGATCTTTCGACATATCTAATGCATTGATGCTCCCGGGGGATTACGTCATGGCCGTCCTACATTACAAAAAAAACCACCTTGAATCGATCAACAACAGTGTAATGTCAAAAGAGACAGACATGAATGAGTGAGTATGGTTTTACGCCGCTTTTAGCAATATTCCAGTAATATCACGACGGGTAACACCTGAAATGGGCTTCACACATTGTGTCCATGTGGGGAATCGAACCCGGGCCTTTCACCACTAGGCTGCCCCAACGCCCCAAGACCTGAATTACAAAACATATAAAGTGGACATATTTTGTGTATGTGCATGCCTCTGAAGTGTACCGTTCCCATGGTCGGTCCGATTCTCTTCTTGAGTGCAACATGCAACAAACTTTGCCAAACTCTATCGCTAAAGAAAGAAGTTTATATAACATAAAAGGCAGATATGAATAGTTTCTAGCTTGCCTTTTTTCCCCTTATGCTTATACATGTTTAAGACGCCTTTTAAAAAACAAATTAGCGAACGTCGTTAAAGTCATGAAGCGGCTTTGAATGAGTGAGTTGAACGCTATCATAGGTGTGAGTGAGTCCGGGATAAAAGATATGAACATGATCTCACGACTGATTTACATATATATTTCCCAAAATGACGAAAGCATCATAGAAACCACATATCAAAGATAAGGCATGCCGGGAAACCTACTGCTTGTCAATGCTCTAATTTATAGAATGCACAGTGGGCTCTAAACCGACGTTGTAATTCACAAGAGATTGCATCAGCCAACACGCTTGGGCGAGAGGTGGCCTGCCAAGGCGTAATAGGATTATTTGTTAATAACTTGTTCAATGGATTCATAGATTGGTGAAGTCACATGTTAAGTGCTTGCTATGATTCGTTGACATTGAGATCATCTCAATTTAACACGAGTATTGCCAGTCAGTGTCTGACTGACTGACCGAGTTTAGTTTTAAGCCGCTTTTAGCAATATTCCAGCAATATCACGGCGGGGGACACCAGAAATGGGCTTCATACATTGTGCCCATGTGGGGAATCGAACCCGGGTCTTCGGCGTGACGAGCCAACGCTTTAACCACTAGGCTACCCCACCGCCCCGCCAGTCAGTGTCACCAACACATAGATTATATTATAATATGAAGGCTACTGATCTTTGCTCTTGAGCCAACACTTGTGACCACCCTTCAAACCACCATCACTGACTTCTTTTTTCATCATTGAATATTATAATGATATTTTGAATAAAGCGGCACTGATATAAATATCCATTTCATTGTGTTTGTTTAATTTTTTGTGTGGTTTAAGTTTGGATTGAGTTTCTTAAAAACTCCAATCTAAACCGACATCCCTCAAAACCGACATTCGTCACCGGTCCGGAGTCCACTGTTTTATTATTTGGTTTCATTTACTGTTATGGTTAAAATTAAGGACAACCATGATATGCGTGATGACTGGACTACCAACACCTAACAGGTGTATCGTCTAAACCCCTTGTCCACCTTTAACATTTTAACAACATGCAACTTTGCAGTGTAATGTACTGAACACTACGATTGGATAACACGTAGGCGCGTGATTTCATCATTGCCAGTGCTTCTCCGATTGGATGATTTCGAGAAATGTTTATACAAAGACAACCAGGTAACTTAGAGATGACGACCAAAACACACTGCTCGGGTATAAACGTGTCCGCTGCCCTCCCATTGTCTGTGTGCACATTTTACCTGTCACGAATACACCTGTAATCTGCATGAAGAGTAAACATGGGTTTTTCAGAGGCATCTATGCTGTCAAAGGTTGGACTGGGACTGGCGGGAGCCGCCCTGTTATTTGATGTCATTGGATTTGCAACTGATAACTGGATGCAGGCAGATTTGCTAAATTTCGGCTTATTCAAAGTTTGCACTATCGGCAGATGTGTTTCATTTGGCTCTTTAGAAGGTAAGGATGATTTTGTACTTTAGAATTTGTAACGTCCCTATACGTCGAAAACTCGCCAACCAGTCATAGATATTACAATTTTTAACATTTGAAGAACACTGTCATAATCACGGATGCTACTAGAATAGCCGCCAGTAGTAAAACTTTGATAGATTTGATATTTGTTTCGACGTTGTTAAAGATTCCGGTGTATTAGATCCCATATGCAGCGATCACTGACCCGTATTTGTTAACATAGCAGAAATGATGCAGCACAATAATTCATTCAAAAGGAAAATCTATGTTTATTCTTCAATGGATTTTAATGGTATGAATAAAACTATCAAAGAGATAAACTCAGATTTATTTTTCTCTTCGGGGAACGTAGATAATATCACTGAAAACCTTACATCCTTGTTACTGAATATCATGAATGAATATATTCCAAATAAAACTGTAACAATTAGAACCAACGATCCCGCGAGGATGAATAACGAAATCCGATCCTTAATAAGAAAACGAAATCGTGTTCATAAGATGGTAAAAAACAGAAACCTTCCTGATGATTGGACTAAGTTCAGAACACTTCGGAACAAAGTAATAGCAACAGTTAGAAATACAAAACGTGCTTTTGATCCACGAGTTGATGAATCTATAAATAACACTCATGGTACTAAAATGTGGTGGCGATTAGTTAAGAATTATGTTAAAACAAATTCGATAAAATCGTCCTTTCCATCAATTGTCAGCAATAACATAGTTTATGACAATGAGCAAGATATTGCTGATGTACTCAACTCATTTTTCTCAGAACAATCCCAAGTTGCTGATCCTAACGCCGATCTGCCTGATTTCGAACCGCGTGAAATCGATCATCCTATGTCATCTATCACAATTAGTAATGGAGATGTTCGCGATATTCTTCTGAGTCTAGATACATCGAAAGCCACGGGGCCTGATGGCATTGGAAACATTGTATTGAAATTATCTTCAGTCTCTCTAACCCCGTTGTTAGCTAAGTTGTTCAACATCTCCCTTCGTAATAAAACGTATCCTAATTCTTGGAATACTAGCTGCGGTGATTCGGCTTCATAAGAAAGGTGATGAACACGATTGCTCAAACTATAGAGCTGTAGCGTTAACAAACTGTGTGGCTAAAGTTTTTGAAAAATGCATTTTTAAATACGTCTTCAACTTCCTCGGGGATAACAATATGTTATCAAACTTACAATCTGGATTTATGTCTGGTGATTCTACAGTAAATCAACTAACTTATCTTTATAATTTTATCGCAAGTGCCGTAGATCAAGGAAAGGAAATCAGAGCGGTATTCTGTGATGTAAGTAAAGCCTTTGACAAAGTTTGGCACAAAGGTATTATTCATAAACTTTACGCTTATGGTATACGGGGAGAACTTTTGGAGTGGTTTGAAAGTTATTTAGATAGTAGAATGCAGAAAGTGGTAATAAAAGGCTTTAGTTCAGGATCGGTATTCTAAAAAACCTTCGATTTTTCTTTAAGTTTTGTCTTAAGCTTTGAAAAATTGACTTTAGTCAGAAACTTAAGTTCGTTTTCATATACCGCCCCAGGTATCAAATCTGTGGAAGCTGGTGTACCCCAGGGCTCCGTTTTAGGACCACTTCTGTTCATCATTTATATTAATGACATTGTAGATGGTATAGACAGTAACATTCGCCTTTTTGCTGATGATACATCAATATATGCTATAATAGATGATCATATTACAGCAGCCGCAATTATAAACAATGATTTGGCAAAACATTCAGACTGGGCCAGAAAGTGGCAAGTTAGCTTTAATCCTAGTAAGACTGAGAGTATAACATTCCCTCGTAAAACGAAAAATTATGCCAGGCCGAACTTACTAATGAATGGCGAAATTAAAGAAGTTGATAACCACAAACACTTAGTTATAACACTTTAAAGCGATTGTTCTTGGAAAGTTCATATAGGTGACATGATAAAAAAAATTAGTCCAAAGATCAATTGTCTGAGAAGTTTGAAATATCGTTTATCTCGGAAAACGATAAATACTTTATATAACTCCTTTATCTTACCAATTTTTTTTTAATACTGCTGTCACATATGGGATAATTGTACGATTGAACAGGCAATTTTACTGGAAAATTTACACTTAGACGCATTAAGAACTATATGCGGTGCGGTTCGTGGCACCAGTCATGATAAAATATACAAGGAAACCAATTAAAGCACATTGAAACAAAGACGAGATCGCTCTAAACTGATAACTTTCTATAAAATGTATCATCGTCTGACTCCTGATTATCTGAATGATCGTGTACCAGGTAGAGTATTTCAACAAAGCAACTATAATCTTAGAAATAGTACTTCCATTCAAACTACTAACTGTAGAACGGAACGATATTCTAAATCATTTTCACCGAGCGCAATTATGTCGTGGAATTCATTGCCCGATGGAGCTGTTAATGCTATTTCCGTGAGGCAGTTTAAAACCATGATAAACACAACAGAAACTCACAACTACTATGATTTAAATTTTGGGACTAGATTTTGTCAAATCATCCATTGTCGCCTCAAGCTCGGCTGTAGTGATCTGAACGCAGACAGATATAATCGACATATATCAGAAACAGCTAAGTGTTCATGTGGTCATTATAACGAAGACGTCATTCACTACCTCTTTACATGTCGGAACTATCAAAATTTAAGAACAACGTTGTATTTTCATATTCAAGAGTACGATGTGAAAACTACCTTATACGGTAACGGCGCATTGGATAACTCAACAAATTGTGACATTCTCAACTCATTACACCAGTTCATTTCTAGTAAGCGCTTCCAGTGAGTATCACCTCTACATATACAGTATGACCAGAAATTATTGAGAATTTTAGGAATATGTTTAATTGGATATCTAGTATAAACAACCTTGACCAGCTATCAAGTGCTTGGTTTCATTCAAGAGAGACAATTCCGTTAATCCCTTTTTGATTAGTTTGTGAAGAGTTATTCCCTTTTGTTTACTGTCTAGCAGACGACATTTTCAGTGACCCTCAGTATGGATGATTTAGGGAAGAGGAAGTTGATTTTAGAGTATTATAACAAGGACATCAGATCAGCTAAAGTGATTTCAAGTAGAACAGGCATCCCTTTGTCCACTGTTTATCGTGTTTTGAAAAATATTGCAAATGGATATGGCATTGAGCACCAGGGAGGCGCAGGTAGGCCCAGAAAATTGACTGTCGGTGACAGGAGGCGGCTTGGTGTTCTTGTTTCTAAAAGCAAACGAAGGAGTTTAGAAAACTTAAGGCTGGATATGATTGATAGAGGAACTGTGGCTGTCTGTAAGGAGACAATTAAAACTGAGATGCATGCAATGGGTTGGCAGAAAAGTCGAGGAATTCCATCACCGATCATAAAACCTGAACAAAAGGAGCGAAGGTTGAACTGGTGCTTACAGCATAGAAAGTTTAACTGGGACAATGTGATTTTCTCAGATGAAAGTTCTGTGTGATACCTTAGTATCAGTGCCCAAAGTACAGTCCGAAATTTAACGTGTGGGGTGGCATATCTGTGTTAGGGGCAACACCCCTCTGTGTATTTGAAGGGAATATGAACAGTGAGCGGTACATAGATATTCTCGAGGGACATTTACTTCCATCTGCTCACGTGTTCTATGAAAATGTTTGGATTTTCCAGCAGGACAACGACCCAAAACATCGTCCAAAGCATTCACAGGCCTGGTTTCGGACCCCAAATATGACATTATTAGATTGGCCAAGCTATGGCCCTGACCTTAATCCAATAGAAAATGTTTGGGGACTTATGAAGGAAAGTGTCAATAAGAAAAATTCGACAAATATTGCTGAAATGAAAGAAGAGGTGGTCCGATATTGGGACAGCATGGACCACGACTTTCTAACTTCTTTGATCAGTAGTATGCCCCGCCGCATTGAACCTGCATTGCTGCCTATGGTGACTTGACAAAATACTAACTGTTCACCTGTCTTTGAATCTGGAGTTATGTTCTGCTAATATTCACATTTAATACGTGAGTAATGAGTGAAAAAAAATGAAAAAAATACAATCTTTAAATTCTCAATAATTTCTGGTTGCACTGTACATGAAATAAAACACACAGACCAAAGTTCAGTTCTATAGTTAATGTAGACATAAGAAGCTACATGCTTCATGAAATAAAACACATAGACCAATATTCAGTTCTATAGTTAATGAAGACATAAGAAGCTACATGCTTCATGAAATAAAACACACAGACCAATGTTCAGTTCTATAGTTAATGTAGACATAAGTAGCTACATGCTTCATGAAATAAAACACACAGACCAATGTTCAGTTCTATAGTTAATGTAGACATAAGAAGCTACATGCTTCATGAAATAAAACACACAGACCAAAGTTCAGTTCTATAGTTAATGTAGACATAAGAAGCTACATGCTTCATGAAATAAAACACACAGACCAATATTCAGTTCTATAGTTAATGTAGACATAAGAAGCTACATGCTTCATGAAATAAAACACACAGACCAATATTCAGTTCTATAGTTTATGTAGACATAAGTAGCTACATGCTTCATGAATAAAACACACAGAAAATTCAGTTCTATAGATGTAGACCTACATGCTTCATGAAATTCAAAGTTCAGTTCTATAGTTAATGTAGACATAAGTAGCTACATGCTTCATGAAATAAAACACACAGACCAAAGTTCAGTTCTATAGTTAATGTAGACATAAGTAGCTACATGCTTCATGAAATAAAACACACAGACCAAAGTTCAGTTCTATAGTTAATGTAGACATAAGTAGCTACATGCTTCATGAAATAAAACACACAGACCAAAGTTCAGTTCTATAGTTAATTAGACATAGCTACATGCTTCATGAAATAAAACACACAGACCAAAGTTCAGTTCTATAGTTAATGTAGACATAAGAAGCTACATGCTTCATGAAATAAAACACACAGACCAAAGTTCAGTTCTATAGTTAATGTA